GAGGGGAAGAAATGGTCACTCAGCCCCCAAGGAAGCATCTCTAGCCCAGAGGGTTTTGTTTTTTACTTTTAATGTTATTTTGCCCCAGGTGGGGGAGATTTCGGTTCAGTTTTGGCGGGGCGGGGGGAGAAGGAGGGAGGGGCGCAAAACCACCAACCCAACAGGAGAAACGGAGGCACTGGCCAAGTCTTATGATGAGAAGGTAAGCTGCACCCACACAGTATGAATATAATCATGATTTTCCCATAGAAAAAAAGCTATTTTTACATCATTCCACTCAAAAATGGAAGAACAATTAAACTCAAGTTGTGACCTGGACCTCACTGCACAGTCCACCCAGAATGATGCAGTGTGAAAAACTGAAGATGAACACAGTGATGAACATGTGAAGATTTCAGATCAACAGGTGCTCTGCAGCATTTTTTGAACCTGTGTTAAAGAACATCTGGGTCGAGATGCTGCGAACATGAGGAGCCGTGTTGAGCATAAAATTGCTCCTGTGTGTTTTTGTGGGGTAGAGGCACTTTTGAGCACACGTGGGAAGGCTGCCATGCCTTCTGGGACCAGCTCTCTGTGGTTCGAACCAGAGTCCTCCAGGGCTAAATGCTCCAGTGTCTTCAGTTTGAACAAAAGCCATTTTTGTTCAAAAGAGCCTTACAAGCTCCAGCTGGAGCCAGTAACAGACTCTCAAAGTTCACCGAGGGGAATTCACACTGACCACTGGGTCACACATGTATATTATCAGATGTGCTCACTCTTCAATGCAATTCAATAAGCACTGGTGCACTTTAAGGATTGATGCTACTTTCATAGAGATAGTCAATATTTTTAAAATTCACAATTTGGATTAATTCCCTCAATGGAATTTTGAATTTCAACTTTTTAAAAAAGTTTGATGAACATTTCCATGATATGGTACATGATATTTCCAGCAGTTTTTATAATTAATTTGCTGGGGTTTGTTTTTTCAATCACCGAGCGACTTGGATGGACTTTTTTAAGAAAATCAGAATCTGCCTCCTTTACTGGAGAGTTAGGGGCAAAGGGAGGGGAGGTCCACGTTCAGAAGTCTGGCATATTTACTTCAGAAGCCAAGTGGGCAGCCAGTACACGTTTAGATATAATAGATAAATTGAGTCTGTTCTACAACCTTAGCTAATGGTCAGTTGGCTTTAAGCTCATGAGATAAAGGCCATGCACTAAGTTCCCAAGGTTCGATCCCACCCAACGACAACCAATGTTTGTTGGTATTACATAGGCACATGCTACTAAATGATGGGGGAATTCCTGTTCTACCTTGAATTTTAATGTAACATAATATTGTCCTTGTTTTAATGGCTATAAAGATAGAATGTGAGAGTTTCTTCCCTTTTTGCAGTAGAGAGAGTGAGTGATGGCAGAAGATACTGTCAAAGCAGTATCGAAGAGAATCTGCCAGACGACACCTTGCTTCTAAAATCCTTGGATGCTTTTCATCTGGGCTGCAAAGTTTCTCGCAAGCTGGAAAAAATCCACAAGGGAGCCCTTGTGTCCCCCCTTATAGCTTATTCTTCTCTCTTTAATAAAAGTAGCTGGTTGTTGTGGTGTATCACAAACGTGCCTGTGAGTGTTTTGACTGGCATGCGGGGGCTGTTTTGTTATTTCTTTTCCATAAAACTCCCTTCCTTCATTTATTTTAATGAAATATAAATAAAATAAATGGTCACTGCCATATGTGAAATCCACCC